ACACAGGCAGACTTTGACACACAGCTGGCCCACATCCGCTCTTCACATTTCTCCCAATAACATAAACAACGCCACTCATAGGAGCGGAAAAGAGGAAAAATACCATGATAAGGCAAAAATAAGCTTGACAGAGTAAATTACTGAACGCTAAGAGAGACGGAGCTGGGGATGACAAGGAGAGAAGAATTTGCGGCGAAGAGAATTCCATGCACCTTTTTGTGATGTTGGACCTTTTGAATTGAATATTAGAAGTTGTCACAGTGTGACACCCTTTCCGACTTACTCTCCGATGCTTGGGCCTTTTTTTTTTTCGTGTGCTTGAATTGCAAAGTTCATGCACTTTCTTACAAACGCAGACGGACATCCATTTGTGTTCGCGGGGTGGCTTGTGTCTACGTGTGCAACATTCGGAGTTGGCTCTGCAGATCCCACCCCTGTCATTTGTACGCTGAGAAACCTTGACCGGACTCCAAAAACTCATCACCATTTCACAGAGAGCCCTCTATCATTCCTCACAGGATTAGACACAAAGAGGAGGGAGAGAGTTCAAGGGCGGGATTACTCGTTTACAGACGTTACAACAATTTAGCTGAATTAATAGAAGTTTTAAATTTGCTACGTGTGGACCTCTGTGTCTCTCTCTATCTCTGTTCTTTCTAAAACAGATGTCAATTTGAGGCAGCAGCACAGAGAGACGATGCGCGCTAGTGGAGCAGTGCTCCAACGGGAAGGAAGCTCAGTTATAGCGTGAAGCACATACATGTGAAGTGTCTGACTCACAGATGCATGCCGCTCTCCATGGGAGTTTAATGAGTTTCATATACTTTTTTTTTTTCTTTTTCCAACTCCACCTAGTGGTGTTGGTATTGAACAGATTTCTGGCTGCAGCAGAGGAATGATCTTCAGTGAGGGAAACGTTTCACCAGCATTTGTTGAGTCATATTACCCTTAGCTGGCTGACGAAGAAGGATCCATACTTCAATACCACAAAAAGTACAGATAAAGTTGCTTCTGCGATCTGGCTCAGTGCTTTTTAAATAGTGGCTGTTCATTGCAGTTGCTGGCTGTGTCCGTAAGTCTCCTCAGCACCTCCTGGCCTGGCATCTGTAAGGCTTGCTCACACTTGCTTTCACACACCATGTGTTTGCTCATATGAAGGAAATTATGTAATTAGTCTTTGAGGGATTGTTTTCCTTTACTCTTTACTCCCTTTCTTTCTTTCCCTCCTTCTTCTTTTTTGCTCTCTCTCTCTTTCTCTCTTTCTAGTTTTGTGACAGCAGGAGATGGTTAATCTGAGCCGCGCCCTACTGTCGTTCACCTCCTTCATTAATTGTCAGGAACCATCAGTGGAGGAAAATTAACTCTTGTCATACAGATCTCAACTGAAGAGTAGCTTTGTTTAACTTCAAAGGCTGACTTTTTGAAAGGTGTATGAGGGAGTGGAGATGTTTTGGGTATGCAGGGGGTTGTGTCAGGCCGGGTTGTGTGCGAAATTGGTGCAGGGATATACACACAGCCAGCATCGGGGGGAGGAAAACCTGGCATTTTGCTCCCTAATTCCAGCCGGCCTGGAGGCCTGGAGCGTTAAGAAGGGCCTCACTGTTGCTCTCTGGATCAGCCAGGTATTGCTTACATAAAAAGCAAGTGAAAACAGCTGTAGGGATAATTAGCTTGATTCTCCATTACATGCCATGAGGGCCAATAACTAAAAAATTGAGTTTTGTTTGGGTTAGAGCTGCAGTCCCAACCAGGAGGAAGTTGTAAAAGTCAGGCTGCAGAAAAAAAGAAAGACAGGAAAAAAAGGAGAAATTTGGGAAGAAAGGGTGAGCTCTTGAAGCAATTGTTGCCACGGCGATGTTCTTTCTTCCCGCGGTAGCTTGATGTGGTCCTTATTTTTAAGGTTTCTTGGCTGTGGTTAAAAATCAATGAATGGAAGGGTATGCACGCATACGTGCTCCTTTTCAAAATCATATAATATACAATGAATGGAATTGTGGAATGGAATGGATGACCATGGAACATTTCACCTGAAATGAATTAATTGGAACCGGACCAAATGTTGCCCTCGTGGCTTACACTGCATTGCAATAGATTAATGTAGAAATGCTTTAATTCTTTTCATCATCAATGGGAACGTTGAAACACCATTACACCTTATACGATCAGACGTTTTTGTCATTACCCTTTCTATTAAAGGGCATTTTTATTAAAATCGTATTTTCTACGGTTAAATCGACCTTCAGAAACATGATATGTGGTCCCATACTAGGCATGTGACCACAGGCGATATCACGTATTCACAAAGAATGTCAACAAGGAGAAAAATATGTGTATTTACATAGACGGAACAGTGAGATGCCACTTCTGTTTCCCTGTTTTTCAACCACATGTCACCCCTCTTGGTAGAGTGGGGTTACTCAGAATCTAATTTGGTACGGTTCTCATTACGTCTTCAGGAGTCAAAGGACACCAACCAGCGTTATTAAAGAGTGAAAGAGCACCACTTTAACATTGGTGGTCCTTAAATTCAGCAAGGATCCATTCAACATGCAGTTTATGTTGGTAGCACTTAAAGACATGAAGGGGTTCAGCTGCTCACATCCAGACCCTCAGTTTTGATACCCAATCCTCAAGACAAAGACAAACAGTCAAACAGAAGGACAGACTGGTATGGGTTTTGGGAGAATTGCAGTGATCTAATAAAACAGACTTAAACAACTAATGCTAATTTGGAATTTCCTATCCACTTGAAGTACTTAAATGTGCTATGTTGTGGATGAATAGATAAACAGCACTGGTCACAAAATGAACATTGTTTGAATAACACATGGATTCCAGGGAGTAGAAGACCTCGGTTTTGTCAAATGGGCATTCGCAAATATGGTAAATAACTTCCCTACCACCGGACTCCAGGCTAAACCAGTATTAATATGAGAACATGCTCACCCTGTCTGATCCCATCATCAAGCACACGGAGAGCGGAGTGGAGGGAAGGAGGGCGAGGGTTATGCAGGGAGGAGACCATAGGAATGGCTGAGTTAGAAGGAGATGATGGCTGGTGAGAGGGAAATTGTACCAACCAATTTAAAAGTATGTATTTTTATGGTTGTAATGTTTTAAAGGGATATGAAACATTCAAACGTGTAAATCCCCCCCCCCCCCTCTAAACCTACTGTGGCTGGATTTAACAATGGGAGGCCTGCATCTGATCTGTTGGATTGAATGTTAAGGTTTTGTTCTATCATCAGCTGTTCCGGTTAAGATTCACAGTGCGATTTGAACATCACAGTGCAATTCATCACATTCCTACTCTTACGGTCCTCATGCAGCCAAACGGCTGTACACCAGTAGTGTCTGTCTGATAAATGGAACTTCCATGTGTTTTTTTTGTTGTTTTTTTACTACTCTGGGTCAAATGTGCATGCTGTTTATTTTCAGACACTTATTTCAAAACTGTTTTTGACTCGTATACTGAAAAAAACAGAAGTGCTTCCTCGCCCAGCTGGAGTTCATGCAAAATTAGCTAAATGTTCTCTTTGGGCAGTGCAGCATATGTGTAACTGCCTGGTTTTGCAGCTTTTAGCAGCAGCTGATGATGAAGAAACATTGTGTACAATGACCTTTGGGCTGAAAAGGCTTTAATCAGCCTGTCAGAGCCGTTTCAGCTCTTGAACTTATCCATCTTGTTGCCGTAGCTTTCATGGCTGATATTCACATGATGAGAATGAGCACTACTATACATGCAGAAATCATACTAAGGAACCTACAATTCCAATTTGATTTTAACAATCTGTCACAACATGCTGACATGTAAAATAATCATAGGCCGATAAGCGTACACACTTTCATGACCACATAGCGACACATGCTTCCTCATTACCAACGCGAACACAGGCGTCACACGTGAGTTTGTGTAGTGAATGCGTCTGTTGTGTGCCAGTAGTGAGGTGTTGAGAGAGAAGAAAGAGGAGCGGACCTCAAACACATCCACAGGCAAGTCGATCTCTCCATTATGCCCAACCGGGGGCCGTATTTGTTGATTCTCTGGCCCTAAAATCATTAATTTAAGCGCAGACGGCGTTGAAGAAACCTGAGAACGGCGACCAACACACATGCAAAAATTCCCACACACGCATGTTCATGCGTGGACACACATTTGGTCACACTCAAATGTGAGCAGGTTTGTGTACACACACACACACAGACGCGAATCACGTTGCATAACAAATGATGGCACTTTAATTGCTGTGCATGTTTATTTACTCCGGGCTGTAATGGATGGTCCTTCTCTGCCTCGCGGCCAATCAGAGAGAGACAGGACACTTTCTATACAATCCGGCGTTCCCCTTTCTACACAATGCACTAACCTAACTACCACTACTACCGCTAAATACTGGTAACTCCTTTACATTCAAGGGTTCTGGGTAATTACGCATTTCAAACCATCTCCAGCAAACATTTTCCCCAACTCCACCTTGCCGTCGGTATTAAAGTTATATCACTTTCCCCCCTGAGTGACTGGTGGTAATGTTTCCAGTGATTGGTAGTTAGTTAGTGGCCTGTTTGCTCAGCCAATGAGGCGCCACCAGCCAGCTAGACATACATCATTGTTTCTCTTTTTTTCTCACAACCTAACCCAAAGGAAAGAAGTGAGTGGTTGCTGACTGCTGTGCAACCTGAATAACGGACACATTCCAATTTTTCTTTTTTTTTAATTTTTAATGAGCACTTGGTTGGGCTGCTGCCAACTGCATTTGGAGCATTGTTAAGGACCTCTCTGGGCTGACCAGACAGTGAGAGTATTAAAATGGTCATCGTAAAGCTGAGAAACCAAACACATCTACAATGGGTTTGAGATTTTTTTGTCTATTAGAAACTTTAAGAGCAACCTAAGATCCATTACTAGCTGATGCATCTTCACATACCTTTGAAAAATGTAGCCTTTGTATTTCCTTTTTTGTCGTTGATCTCTCATACTAATTATTTTCTTTTTTCCACAGCTGCTATAAGAGCCAGGCACCAAGAGGTTCCCGAGCTTCGACTCAACCAGCCTATAATTCCCACCACGATGATCACCTGACATCCAGAGAGGACTTCATACGTTCAGCCTGTCGGAGATTATACCATCTTACCGATGGATGTCACCTCCGATGAAAAAGCGCAAATGGCCAACTCAGGGTGGTTGAATGTCCCTCACAGGACCATCTGTTGTCCGTGTGGAGCTACCAGGTATTGGCAAGCGGCCTTCATTTCATTAGCTGTTTTCAATAGACTGCGAGCGAGATTCAATTTGCAGTGCTGCGGTGCTACGGAGTCCTGGCTTCGCGTCAAGTGGCAATCACTCCGCCACCGTCGACTACTGGTGTGGCTGAGCTGCGTCGGTGGATGGTGGTGAACCCGTGCTATCCCTGGACTGGTTTTGTGATGGCATGAATGTGTTTATTTCTGCAGCTAAATATCAGACGTTTGTAAATATAACAACGTGGACCTCAAAATGCACAATCCACAGAAACCTTCTCAATGTACCGTGCCAAAGGAGACAACCGCCGAGAAACTAATTACTGACATGGAGCCGCATCTGAATCATTCGGGCAACCCGGTAAATCGTCCTGGTTACTCATTTCTATGACTATCTCCTGTTTTCGTGCTGAGAGATCAACAGGAAAAAGGCAAATGTGGGCTTAAAGGCGCCCCATCAAGACAGTTTTAGGATCAGCTTACACCTTCTCTAAAATCAGGACCCTTTTTAACAGAGAAGGAGTCACGGCTGACCTCCAATCAGCCGGCTTACTGTAACAACGGTCGGTTTATACGTTTCTCCTGGTGTTCTTTTAGCCTGCTGTGCATTTGTTTAATGAACCAATATCATGTTGTTAGCTTTTCTACATCTAAAACAGTTTTGAGTGCCACTATTCTTTTTTTTTTTTTTTTTTAAGTTTCAACAACTCTGTGTAACTCATTACGCAGTGGGTTATTTTGTTGTCTATTTGTTGATCCTGTGAATCTGGGTGGCGTTTGTTATGAAGGAACTTGCATTATAAAGCACTGCGTCATTACTTTTTTCACCGTACTGGAAGTTGATGAGTCCAGACGGTGGTGTATTTGGTTTGAACAGTATAACGGTGTTTCTATTTTGCCCTTACCTAACATGTACATTTTGGTACAGTGTGTGTGTGTGTGTGTGTGTGTGTGTGTGTGTGTGTGTGTGTGTGAGTGTGTATGTGTGTGTGGTGTCAGGCTGCTCTCATGTTTGTGATGACTGTAAAAGTTTTGGGGGGGATAACAGTATTCACCCTCGAATGGTTCCACGGTGTTTTGCAGTGGTCAACTGGTTTCTCTTGTTTAAATAAAAGTTGTTTTCACTAGAACTGCAACCTGTGTTTTTATCAGAAAGACAATAATCAGTTTGTCGACATCGACAATGTTATTGGTCAATGTAAGTGAAACAATGCGTATTTCCAAAGGTTTCAAGTGCCCCCGCCACTAATGGCAACGACAACAATAGACCCTTGCACTGCCCGGGAAAGAATTCACCCAAGTTTTCAAGGTCTACCAATTCTCTCCCTCATTGTCGTTCTCATAAACTCAGCCAGATGTTGCCCAGTTTTCTTCCTTGGGGAACGTGGGTGGATGGAGAAGGGGGGGGGGGGGGGGGGGTTGACGGAGGCGGGAGGGGCAGTGAGGCATGGTGAGGGATCAGAAATGTGGCTGAGCATGTTTTAAGTGCTCTTTGACGCGTTCGCAGCCTCCAGCATCCACCACGGTAACATTAGCTGGGAACAGAACTCTTTGCAGGCACTTCACACTCATTCTGCCACGGGGATTTACAGCCACATGAACGTAAGTGAGATGTACGAGAGGTGTGGAAAAAAATGGGACCAAATGATAGTTGTCACAAAAAGATTGAGTTATTTTTCGACATTTTGGGGGCCGAAATGAACAATAACTTCATCGCTGACCCTTTTTCGTGAAACAGACCATTTTAGAAACTTGGAACGAAACCTATAATGTACAAAATGGTTCTGTTTTACACATTTACATGTATATTATTTCTTCTTTTAGCAAGTGCTGAGGGACTTAGGCACACATATCAGATATATAAGATTGACTGCACCTGACGAACACGATTGGAATCATAAAAATTTCAAAAGTAATTATTTTCCCATCTTTTTCCCTTTATTCACCTGAGGCAAGAACTTATTTGGGCACGTCGCCAGATATTCTGGGGACCCGTTCCATCAATTTCAGCAATGTCTTACTGACTGTTATTCAATCTCTATTTCCTCAATACAGATGACATTCTGTCCGGTACAATTAAAAACAACACAGCTTTCCCCCTTGAATGATTCCAGTGTGCCCAGCCTGAGCAACGTACGGTGAAAGAGGTGAAAATATTAAACAATTTGCCCTCTGACACACATTGTGGGGTTCATTGAGAAATATAGAACTGTAACCTGAGGGATTCCTGCAGCATGTTTTGAGATAATGTGCATTAAAATAATAATTACCGTAATGGCCATAATGCTCAAAGGCTTTCAGGTGATGGGAGCAGCCTGTATAAGCACAGGATCTGGACCTGCTTGTCTTGATTTTACTGAGTGGCAACTCGATCTGCTGCCAGTGAAAATCCCAACTCCGCTCCGGTATGGATAGGGTAATAGCCTCGGGTGCTTTATACGTTTATTTTAGGTAATAGAGACGCTTGTTTTGTTACAGCATGTTCCGCCCCCTCTCTCTCTCTCGCTCTCTCTCTCTATCTCTCTCTCTCTTTTACCTTCTATCAAAGGCCTTGCTCCTTGAAAGTTGGTGACTGAAAGAAGAAAAAGGCAATTTGAGGAGAATTTGTTAGGCGCATGCGCCATCTGAAGGTTTTGCGACGCGCATCCACGCCGCAGTTTGCTAGTTTGTGAGAGGAGGCGACTGAGGCAGGTGAGAGAAACGGAGAGACAATCCGAAAGGGAGGGATAGTCGGTGATACTTTTCACGCACACAGACACACACACACACATACACACACACGCGGTGTGGGAGGACGACGGACTCGGAGCCTCAGCAGAGCGCCGTTGTTCACACGCTGTGCTCTTTCCCTCCTCCTGGCACGGTGCGCGCTCGCCAAGCCGCACGGTTTGGAGATAGTCCGCGCGGAAAGTTTTTTTTTTTGGGGGGGGAGCATACTGTCTGGACCCGATTAATTGTGCCATCTGATGTTTTTTTTTTAATTTTTGAGATGACTCAACTTTTTTTGCATGTGAATACTTTTAAGTCGAGCAGTGGACTTGTCAAAGTCGGGGTGTTTTTTTTTGCACATAATGGAAAGTAAATTGACAAGTCGTTTGTGGCGAGGTTCACCGTGTGGATCTTTCGACAGGTAAACGCGCTATGACCTGGGAGTGTGAGAGGCTGGATTTTTATGTTTCTAACTATTCTTCGTGGTTTTGTTTTAGATATCATCTAGTGCAGTTGGGGGGTATTTAGGTGACTCGTAAACTAGGCCGCTTTTAATTATAATAGAATCGACATCCGACCTCTGCGCCAGTGGGTTGCCGTAGGTGGGTTTTATTTGTTGATGGTAACCGCACCGTCGTGCACGGATTGGTGACAGGAACCGATCATTTCCTACCTTCTTTTAACGTTTTTTTTTTGTTTGGACATTGTATGTATCCCGCTGCCTCCTACAAGCCCTGTAAGCGGTTTGGCGCACGGAGCGCACGCATTCGAGCGTCCGTGTTCACCGAAGCACCTCACTGAAGGACTTTAGCGTGTCGCTTTTCTTCAACCCGGCCAAACACTTTCCAAACAAAGCCGGATAAAACGACCAGGCCTAAATAAAGGGACAACTTTAGTCCCGCTGGCCTGCTGTGGGATTATTGGTTTGATTTCGTCTTCTGATCGTGGATTACATCTCCTAACGGGCCGCTGTCTCCGGTGAGTAGCCTCCGGTCTTCTGATTCCCCGCAGCCTCGGTTTAACTTTTGGGACCTACTTTGGACTCTTGCTGGTTATTGGATGTTGGTAAAATAAAGCGGCATGCCCGATGAGAAGTGTGAAACATCCCATCCCCTAATTGCATCGATCAATCAATCTATCAATTCCGTTGGTGTGCAAATAAGAAATTCTTCGAAAAATGACATAACTATTTATTTATATTCGAACAATACGGAAAAATAAAGGCCTGCCGTCGTTTTCCGTTGTTAGCGGTCCCCTTTTGTGCTTCTTGTCCTCGCCAAAGCCTTGTACCTGGCTCCCTCTCCTGGCTTTGTTCTAACAGGACTGGCAGATTTATTATTTTGCGCAATTCAATGCGGATAATATTTCCCCAATTAGTCAGTAAATTCGGGTATATCATTCGGCTTCGGAAAAGGGGACGTTTTTTAATCAAATTGCTCAATGAGTTTAATTTCCCCACCCATGCCCATGCTCTCCGAAAACCGCGAATGATTCCTCCCCATTCGCATTATCCTAACGTTTCCCTGACATTTAGCTACCGGCCTTTCTAAATGTGTAAGGTTGGATGTAAGTCGGGCTAGTCTCTTAAATGATTGCCACAGATAGCGCTGATGATGTCTCCCTTCCGGCCCAATTCAGTACCACTTATACCAACAAAAAACAACGAGGTATCCATAATCATCCATTAAAGTCCTGATGAATATTTCGTTGTGGTAAAATTGTTCCCGGTATGGACGTTAAGATTTGCGCATCTTGCAATTCGGACAAATAGCTAAGAATAAAGAATATATTTGAAATAGCAATAAAACTTTATTTTAAAGCATTAAGCAGTTTAAGTTCTAAAATGAATCGCGAAGTATTAGCCAACGAAATACTAATTGAATAATCACTGTACTCTTCTGTAAAACTTTTGCAGCGACATGTGGTATTATAATGACTACTTTAAATATGAATATCTTTAATGGAATAAAACGTGTCCCCCAACCCCTCCCCACCCCCACACAGGTGTGGAGTTTCTCCTAATGTCTTGATGATGAAGTTTTTTTAAATTTTTTTTAATGTAAAACATATTTTTCTGTAAATAAATTATATATATATATATTTTTTCAACGTTCTTGCAGGTTTAACAAATCCCTCCCTTCTGTGGATTTTCGCTTTAACGTGCGGGGGGGGGGGGGGGGGGGACATAACAAAGCCTTCACCAACTATTACTGAAGCAGGGCGCAAACTGAAAGCACATGCTCTTGCGTGTGAGTGTGCGCGCGCGTGCACGCGCCGAGTGAGTGATGGTGAACTTGGCCTTGCCTTTAATGAGTCTTAGGAAGGACCAGGTCTCAACGACTCAAGCCTGGAAAATAACGCGGCGTGACAAATTAGAGCTGCTGGAGTCCCAGAATTCACACACGCCCCAACTGGACGGCGGGCACATCCGTTTAGCTCGCGCATTTAGAGTTAATTATTTTAACTACTTTTCTTCCTACATAAAAGCTCAACTTTATCACCAAAGTAGTTGACATGTTTCCTTTTTTTTCCTTTTTTTAATTAGGTGGTTTTTTGTTTGGCAAAATGCTGCGTGGAATAATCACGCAGGCCGCTGCTGACGTGGATCGTTTCATTGTGACCCGCAGTCAGTAATAAATATGACAAATCGTTAGAATACAATTATTGACCGACATAACCATTATTCATCAAATTGTATATTTAATTGCCAAATGCATCATCAGTTCAAATATAATCACAGACAAATATGATCGAATGTCTTTTTTTCCCAGTTTTAGTGCTGAAAATTGTTCAGTTAAATTTGTAGAACAGATTTACCAAGGCTTGCCATTGATAAAAAAATAAACCAGTACAGAAACATATCCCATAATTAGTTTTTTTCAAGGCCTATGTTTTAGATCATATATTTTGCTGAAAATGTAGACAATTTAGGTTCAACCCCTATGACAACAATAGATATGCAAGCTAAAATGAAAAAATAAAGTACCCGCACGAGTTGACTGTCTGTCTGTCCGTGCATATCTGAGTCTCTGAGTGAAGTCTCTGACTGGCAATAGTCTGGAATGTGTGTAGCCGGGGTTTCATGGTCGTTGTGTCTTCTCAGGCTGTCCATCTATCAGTCCTGCGTGATTCACACCCGACACGATGCCAAATGACTGCTTTGCTGTGGCAGAGAATGCCTTCAGGGCTCTCGTCACACACATAATTACTGTGCTGTTTGTATGTGAAAGAGCAGCGTATTTTGACATCAAAGTCATCTGTCTTTTTCTCTAATGCACAATAAACTGTAAACAAAAACCCCAAACCTAGAATGAATGAATGATCACGTCCTTGTCCTTTCTCTGTCCTCCCTCAGATCAGACGGCAGCATGAACCTTGGTCTGCGCTGTGTGTGTCGGCCGGTCTGCTGGCCCTTTGGCAGCGTAATGGACTCGAGACATTGTGTCTTTGCCCTCACAATCCTCACGCTCCTCATGCAGGTTGTGGTGGAGGCCAACTCGTGGTGGTAGGCATTTATTTTCAGTTCATATCTACCATATATATATTTTTTTAATTTGTGAACAAAGATTGTAAGCTTTCGAAGCGCATTTTCACAACATGGATGAGTCACATCCGTAAATGGGGGCAGGCAAGTACGAATTTTGAGAGCGAAAGATTTAGGGTTATAAAGATTTGTGTTTTCATATCATATATTTACATTGCTTCAGAGTCTATTTTAGGCCTGTGTATAAGTGTTTGTGTGTGTGCACGTGTTCAGTTGCACCACACATGAAGTAACACGACGTGCTGACTGTAGCACATTAACTTTTCAGGAAGGACCTTTTTTCTCTCCCTTTAGTTTCTTCTCGTATTGCCAAACCATGATATTATAGAAACATAGCATGCTGTGGAGTGTGTGTGTGTGTGTGCGCGCGCGCATTTGTGTGTAAACAAACGTCCTACTGCCATTAGAAAAGTCTATATTTGAGCACGCTGCACTTGTGAGGGAAAATACTGTTTACCCGTCGCCATAGAGGCCATGCTTACAGCCAATCACAATGTGGTTTAATCATAATCTGGTTTAATTTGCGTCTGATTGAGCACTGTCTAAAAGTGCTTGTAGAGGAACATGACATGCAGCATTGACACTAAACCCACACTTAAGATTGGTTCTTACTTCCATTGAGCAGATCCAGCCAGTAGTGACATCATGTAGCAATATAAAAATACAAATTATAATTAAAACAATTTGTTTGAAGAGGTTTTACAGATTTATATCTCTTACTGTTCAGTAGGGGAAAACTGTAAAGTAAAAATCAAAAAATCAGTTGGACTTGCCATCTGGAAACACCCAGATAACCACTGCCCCTTTGGACCGTGTGTGTCTTTCAGTTTCCTCTCTGAGAGCACACACAGGTGTGAATGATTAAGAGCGTCTGAGCAGCGTTCCCACTGTGTGTGTTTCTTTCTGTGTCTGTATACGTCGGTGTACATGGTGTGTGTGTGTGTGTGTGTGTGTGTGTGTGTTACCTCGCCGGCTGCCGACTTTCCCCAGTCGATCGGGTTACACTTGGGGCTAATTGTCTTTCTCTTCGGGCTCAGGGATGGGCCGCTCTAATTGTCGTTGTTGCCTGAAACCAGATGGTCTCCTCTCTCCCTCTCTGTTTGTTCATGTCTCTCTCTTCCGGTCCGTTTTGATTTATTTGTGTTTCTCTATTACAAAGTTGAATAGAACTAGAGAATTATTAGATCTGTTGAAAAAAAAAAAAAGTAAAGTGGTTTGAAAAAAAAGGTAACGTACACGTTTATGTTTTGCCTCTTTAGGCCTTGGAAAACTTCTCAAATGAAATGAACAAATAGGTAGACCTCAATTTCGATTGAACCCGTGGACGTATGCCACCTGTGATAAGGGTCACTGCTCAAAGAGTTTGTGAATCAAATCTGTGTTCTTTATTTTATATTCTTTCACTACCTTCATTTTTCTCCACTGTTGTCCGCTTTCCCTCCTCCACTTCCGCTTTCTTGGTTATCCATGCTTGCATTTTTTCCCCATGTTCCTGAAACGGCACGCAAGTTCATATCCAGTGTGATTAGGAGCTAAGAGTCTGTAGGGTTTCGCTCCATTCATAAAAGACTCCAGCTCGTTTCAGTGATTAACATAGCTGCACCCATGTGAAGGCGAAATTAATCACGTGAAATGAGCTGTTGACTTAGAATGTGGCCTGAAAACGTGCATACGTTTGTGTCAAAATGGCAAATGAGTGAAAACAACCTCCTTATGTGGCTCCCCCTCATCCAGGTCTCTGGCTATGAACCCTTTGCTGATCCCAGAGGCCTACATCATCGGTGCCCAGCCTCTGTGCAGCCAGCTGGTGGGCCTGTCACAGGGCCAGAAGAAGCTGTGCCAGCTCTACCAGGACCACATGCAGTACATTGGTGAAGGAGCCAAAACGGGCATCAGAGAGTGTCAGTACCAGTTCAGACACCGGCGCTGGAACTGCAGCACGGTGGACAACTCCTCTGTTTTTGGACGGGTCATGCAAATAGGTGAGTGGGCAACAGACATATTTTCAGGAACTTGTACCTGAACACATTGGAGCGCATTCAAACACCTGTGTTCACAAATCGTTTATGTTCACCAGTATTATTTAGAATGTGTATGTTCTGTGTACATTCTCCTTTGGGAGCGTGTGCGTCTGTGTAAAGTATATGTGGCTGTTGATTCTCAGCTGCTGCATGGAGGGAATAGTTGGTGGGTGAGGTTGCTGGATAAATCACAAGTCGCTTTGGCGTGTATACACACACACACACACACACACACACGGTGGAAATGGACTGTTGATTCCCTATATTTACAAGTAATGGGAGTCCAGGAAGTGTGTGCACCAATATATCACCATGTCAGAGATTTGTGTGTGTTTGTGCACTTCTTTGCAGTGTGCACAGATCTCTTACACACAGTTCAAGAGCTTAACAATCCTCTTTAAGTAATCCCCAGTCAAGGATCCTATTATTTAACTATGGTTTGTTTTAGTTTTACTTTGGAATGTCGGCCTTAACCTCAGGACCAATTCCGAGGTGGTTTACCATTTGTTGATCATGACTATCAATCTGAATTTTATGAAGCCATACAATACCAATTATGTGATCAGATGAGGGTCACAGCGAGCTTTCCTTAATAGTAGTAAAAGTCAGTACTTGCACTGGTTACTTGTTGGGAATCTTTGAAATGACTCCAACACATAACTGCAAGGGTCGGCATTTGGTTCATGTTGGTCCTCGTTAAGGGTTATTATAGCTTATTTGAAAAAGCAGAAACAAACAAAAGGAACCTGTTCAGCAGCCGTTCCCCCATTCCTCTCCTCTTTCCCCGGCACTGCTCCCGTCTCAGCCCGCAGTGGGCCAAGTAAACATGTCCTCCCCTTTTATGGCTGTCTATCTGAAAGCCTGTCGTCCTCTCGGCCTGCAGGTTGAGGACATTGCTGGTGATTTATGGCTGAGCTCCAGGGGGGGAGCTGGAGTAGTTGGGTTCAGATCCCCTGCCTGCCTGCCTGCCTCGGGTAGCTCCAGGGTGGGTGCAGGAGAAGGGAGGCAGCAGTGCAGGGGAAGAAAGTTTGTCTGTCCATTAAACGTCACACCAGACTAATAAATTTCCCACTGTCTCTGATTTCCCACCTGAATGTCTTTCAGACTTTCCACAAGTTTATTTACTCATCTTCTATCGTCCGTCTGTCTTTTGCGGTAATAAGTGCGTGCGTTTCTCTTTTTTTCCTTTTTTTGCTTGCTGTTTTTATTCACTGTCGTTTACTTGACTTATCTCTTCAGTAGTCTTTTTTTTCTTTTTCCTCCTTCATCTCCCGTCCTCTTTCCATCTGTTATTGTCATCATAGCACATTCTCTAAAGGTTTGGCCCAGCAGGTATATGAGCTGTGCATTTTTATTTCTAGTGGCAGCCCTTGTCGCCAGAGCCCGGGCACAGCTGGCTGGTCAACTTTTTTTTTATTTTTTTTTTTTATTTTCTTTAGTTTCTTATCGAAGTTGTCTCTTCTTGCCTCTGGCTTTGTACAGGATTGGTGATTGCAAAAATGCTTGTTTTATGTTATTAATCATTTCTGGCTCTTATCTCTGTAGGAGACATTTGAGTGTAGAACCAGTGGGAGTTAATTTGCAATGTCTTGGGGATGTGTCAGTCAAAACAGCCCCACAAAAATAACTACTGTCACTTTCAATTTGGGTGAAATGGTGGCCGCTTGTTAAGAAGCACCTCTGTCACTGGAGGGCGCCCTCTTCTCTCTGGCTGGAACCCAATAACAGCAAACCAGAGTCCATCTTTCAAAAATGTTGATGAGAAGCATGCAGCTCATGTTTGGAGTGCTGTGTAATCTTCAATGTAAAGCCAATGCTGTCATGTGACATCCCATTCTACATTCAGTGGAAAGATGTCGGCCCGCGTTTGGTACAAAATGAATATACGTCCATAAACAACAACGATGGAAGGAGTGGATGGGTGCGCCAAATTTTTCTCTTTTTGCATCAAATGTGCCATGATGTTCCTGTTTGTTTGTTTGTTTGTTTGTTTGTTTTTTTACAGGCAGCCGAGAAACGGCATTCACCTATGCCATCAGCGCGGCAGGAGTGGTGAACGCGGTGAGCCGCGCCTGCAGAGAGGGGGAGCTCTCCAGCTGCGGGTGCAGCCGCGCTGCTCGCCCCAAGGACTTGCCGCGAGACTGGCTGTGGGGCGGCTGCGGAGACAACCTCAACTACGGCTACAGGTTCTCCAAGGAGTTTGTGGATGCACGTGAGCGGGAGAAGAGCTACCCGAAAGGCTCATATGAGAGCGCCAGGCTGATGATGAATATTCACAACAACGAGGCTGGAAGAAGGGTATGACGCAAGGGTTGCATGCATAGACGCACACAAATGTTGTAAGATGTCATGAGCTCAGAAGCGAGCAGACTGATTTAAACTTCAGGCCCTTGCATGAGATCAGCCAGTGATGGGTGCAAGAGGGGCTTGTGAGATAATCCCAGTCTTTCGCATAGCGGATCGTTGGGGTAACGGCTATGTCAGCTCTCCCCTTCTGGGGCTTTGGTCTATGGGGAATGAGGCAGCACTTGGGTTCTTTTTGCTCTCTAAACACCTCCAAAGGAAAAGTAATGGAGATGTTCTCTTTCAAGTAGGACAAATTAACGTTTTATTTAATGGACTATTGGCGACGTGAACATGATCGTTTTGTTTTTCTGGGCAATGTGGTGCCTTATGACATTTGGAGCTGTATATTGTGCAAATATTTGAGTTCAAATGACATACATACCGCTTAAGAATACATTTTTTGGCAAATTCTCCATTTGGTTATTAATCCATTTTATTTCTTTTCCCTCCCTTTCTTCAGACGGTATCCGACCTTGCCAACGTGTCCTGCAAGTGCCACGGGGTGTCCGGCTCCTGCAGTCTGAAGACCTGCTGGCTGCAGCTGGCTGACTTTCGCAAGGTGGGCGACGCGCTGAAGGAAAAGTACGACAGCTCTGCATCCATGAAGCTCAACTCGCGTGGAAAGCTGGTGCAGAAGTTCAGCAATTTCAATGCTCCCACCAACCACGACCTGGTGTACATCGAGTCCAGTCCAGACTACTGCCTGAAGAACCAAAGCACGGGCTCCTTGGGAACGGTGGGGCGCCTTTGCAACAAGACCTCGGAAGGCATGGATGGGTGCGAGCTGATGTGCTGCGGCCGCGGTTACGATCAGTACAAGGCCCAGATAGTGGAGCGCTGCCACTGCAAGTTCCACTGGTGCTGCTATGTCAAGTGCAAGCGCTGCACCAAAATCGTAGACCAATTTGTCTGCAAGTGAGAAGAGCGCTGCCCATGTGTGCTTGCCTGCAGACGATGGGCGTACACCGGCCTGTGTAAATGCCAGCAAAGGAGTTGAACACAGAAAGAATAGAGGAGAAAAAAAGAAACTATATAAATTATATTTATAGAGTTAAACAAATATACCATTGCAAAAAGACTGACTTTTTTTTCCAACAAAAAAAAAATCGTATGTCTTCAGAAACTAAGAGTATTGTGAAATATTTATTTTGAGATGGTTTTATTTTGGCCTAGTCTTCACCAGTTGAATTTTTTTTTTTTTATACCCATTCAAGTGCCTAAAACGGGCTGGAAACCCCCACCTAACCCCCCACCTTTTTTTCATAACAGAAAATGCAGTTGTTCTTTTACGATGGATCACACTTATTGTGAAATTGGATTGTGCGTTCACGTTTTTTTTTTTTTTTTAAGAAGAATACGGTTTGGTAAATGTGGCATAATTTACTAAGGGGTCCTGGTTTGTTGTTGGATAATAACTGTGCTGAGAGGACTTTATGTTCTGTAGTGTCTGGATGTGATTTCATGGACCCAGTCCCGTACCAGCCTTCACATCCCAACCAAAGTCCACTCCTTGCTTCACGACATGCAGAGTAAGGAACACTTGAAGTACAATGGGTAGAATATGAGGGCAGTTTTGGGGAGTGGGCCATTTATTAAGCTCTCCCAGAAGCCTTAGAATTCCCTGGGTGCTGCAACAACCCCTCCATCATTATGCACTTTGATACAGTGGCTTAAATATGTCTGTTCAGCTGTCTTTTATTTTAATTTTACAATTCATCAGCAAATATATCAATAATATAGTCTACATTCTTTTCCATATTAATTCAGATAATCCATTTAACATTATTCTAAAACACTTAGTATGGTTTGAGTATATATGGGCGATGTTGTGGTTACAATGGGGAAATATTCCATGCTATGTGAATAGTATGTCTATCCAACCAATAGACATGTCTATCCAATCAGTAAACTGTATTTATTTCTCTCTAACCAGACGCTCCTCTAAGCTTTAAACAGAGAAGCGTCATCTCCATCACAGATCAAGAGTCGAGAAAAAGATCAATAGTCGGACATCCTGAAATCCCTGCTTTTTAAAATTGTGTTCTCACTAATGTGGCTCCTCACTTTTTTTGTAAAGGGAAATGCACCTTATTGATTCAAGACACACACACTCCTTCTCACTCATGTTCAGCTTTACTGCAACACACAAATACACTTGTTTCACAGATGACTTTAGGATTGCTATCCTCACTTAAGATGTCCTGTACCACTCAGTTAACTGCTAACTATCCCTGTGATGATTCTCAATAGACAGACTATTTCTACAAATCCAAATATGTATATTTATAAGCTTCTCCATGAATTTGAGGTTTGTTAAACGTAATGTGTTATAGCTGATATTTTATTACTTTTTACAAATTGGCTCAATGCTCTACCTTGTTTCAATAAATATCAAATGTAAAACCAGCAGAGAAATATTTTCTCCGAATATTTATTTTCAATCTTTTTTGCCTCCATTCTTTTTCACGACTAACATTTCCTTTCTACTTATAATGTACTAGACAATTTTATCTACTTGCAATTGTCTGTCTTTGTGATTTCTGATTTGATTCAATGGCTCAAAATGTTTTTTTTTTTTTTGTTTTTTTCTTCCTTCAGTTCAGTGACAGAAGCCAGGTTGTATCACAGCTGTTTTAGGCATGTATTGAACAAAGATGGATTTCTTGTGAGCTTTGGAAGATGTCCTGAAGATTGGGTGTCTCTCAAGGGGATGGTTGAGGTTGTGTTGTAAGCACCCCTCAACAATTCAAAGACACTTTATAGAATGATCATAATGTGTCAGGAAAATAGGAAGAGGGGGATTTCCATTGTGGTGGGGGTGGAACCGGGCTGTCTGGAAGGCAACCGGGCTTTGTCAGAGACTGCTGGAGCTCAAGAGGAGAAGCGGAGACCAGGAGAGCAGTCCTGGGTAATGAGAAACTGGGGATTACATGAGAGCTGGATGAGCGGAGTAATAAGAAAAGCGAGAAGCTCGAGGGAGCGACGCAGTGAGGGGAAAGTGCTTTTTTCGGAAAGTAGAGCTGAAAGACCATTACAGTGTGCCATTACTGTGTAAGCGGTCCTCACATTGACTAATATTTACATTGGGAAAATGATACTGACTTTAGGAGCACATCCCATATATGATCCTGTCAATTGCCCCCCCCCTCCCCTCCTCCCATGTGTGACACTGCTATTGCATATGCACCACTTGCACAAAAATGTGTTCCATCCCGTTTTTACATTTCTGATTGGATCAATAAAAAATGATGCAAGGTTAGCAAAGTGGAAGACCAGCAAGATGCTTTGAACCTTCTGTAGGCAGCAGGATTTATTAGGATTTCTTTTTTAATGTACATGAAGAGGACAAACTACTTGCACGTGCTGGACGAGGCTCTTTGGATGTTAGATTGAGTGACTGACATCATACCAGCAGGACTCCTCCAGCAATAGCATAAACAGAAATCCAGGTGCAAGGGTTATCCACCGAGAGATGAAACGTGACACCTATAGGTGCACAGGTATGACACACTTTGGAAAAAGAGGCTAGGACACTTCCAACGGTTCAAACCAAATGCTTGGACATCTGGTCTTGGCAGACCTTTTTCCGCCTGTCTCAACTCTTATGGACATATAATACTGGCAACTGTGTAAATATTTATTCACTATTTCTGCAAAGTACAACACAGCCTTTAAAGTTGTGATTTAGGTGCCAGACACACATTTAAGCTTTCACCGCGATGTTAGATAGTAGCTTCACAAATGCACACACACAGGACTTTCAGGACAAAGCTGCCTAGCAGATATTTTTGTCATCCCTTTACAGCTTATAAAAGGTTCTAAATCAGCTTTCCTCCAAATTTCATATTTCCTTATTTATTTTAATCTCTCCTACTGTTAGAAACCAAAAAATGCATGTTTTTCACACGTTGAATGAACTTTGTTGCATCTGTGTATCACATTATCACAAAGTGATTAGGTAATACTTATGCTAATGAATGGACCAGGCTGGATACAGACTGAGGTTCACCGGGCCCAGCAAGTGGATGTACTTTATTCTTCTTCCACAGCTGTAAATTCCTCAGTTTTTTTAGGACGATATGTGACATGTTGTGTTTTGTTAAAACAAAACAGACGGCTGATATGTGGCAACCCCTCTCTGCTGAAGCCAGATCTGCAGACCACATCTTTGTGGACCATAAATATTTTTGCAGAGGAAAAGTCTGACCTGAGGTTCGGCTGTAATTGCAATACACAAGGCTGCACGTAATGATGTAATACATTTACACAACATTTGAACATCCATGAAGCAAAACCGTAGCTTATTAGCCCCCTTTATAATTCTGGGGCAAATGTTAGTAGCTGTACTCCTGTTCAAAACACCAAGTCAACAAATGACTCAACCTTGAAAAAACAATTGCATAAAAACAGAAACTATCAATCAGTGCTGACCAGGTTTTTGCTCTCAAACCTCATAAAAGTGAATACGTAAGCTGTCAGGGCATCAGCTTCGGCAAAGCTCATCAGTCGACACCAAAGTGGAGCTTGTTCCATTTCCCCCTGCATCTTACTGTGAAACACTCAAAAAATCGACAACAGGGCCCAAAAAAATAGTGCGCTCCACAGAGCCGCATTTAGGGCTATTTGGGATTGTGGTCGTGTGTTTCAGAGAAACGGGGCAGGACACCGCACCGTGACGTCGTAAACAGTCTGGGCTGGATCAGAGGGACGTGTCGGTGCCACGGAGTTAACGGCTCCCCCTCCTCTCGCTGCCAATTCTATCCTGGTGGCCCCCCCCCCCCCCCCGGAAACCAATGGGGCACGACGCTGGCTGAAAATAGGAAGGTTATGCATATAGGTCACCATTTCTCAATGAGGCATTTGTGTTTGTTTGCGTCTTTGTACTTGTGTGTGTGTTTTGGATGAAAATGGCAGATCAGTACCAACTCGATTACTAGTTGCCTAACAATGTTTATTCCAGTAGTGAAAACTTATACTGGGCCAGGCCGCATAATGTAATAATTATTAGAGCATTTTGTATCTAAAGCAGTTGCAAAGCAGAACAATGGGGGATATCCAAGGAGATAATTGCAGATAAAATATAAACATAGTAGAATAGCTGCTGATGTGTGTTTGTGTGTGTGGAGCACTGGAAATGCATAGCGCGTATCTTGCCTTATTTATGTGAAAACATGATTCACGTTTAAAAGACAGAATACGATTATCTTTTGTTATCGACCTTAAGTGGCTTGCAGAATGACCATGACGATTTTTGCTGTAATCGATTTTACAATATAAAATAAATGCCAATGGAAAATACATTAATTGTAATCTCAATAATACATTCCCTTTGATATTGCGAAACATTTTTCCGTAGTATAGCTTATTATTGAAATGTCATTAATTAGTCATAGCATTGAAATGCCCATTTAGACATATCATATATTTTAGAATGTTATGTAAAAATGATTGAATAGATTACTGTCGAAAAATCATGCGATGTGTCTTTCTCAAATTTCTATTCTTTTACATTTTTATGATTTGATAATGATTTTTATCAGATGTTTTTGATGTACTATACGAAGACTATTTTATGATGTCTTTTTTTAGTACTTTTTTTGATATATTATGATATGCTTTCTTTTGACGCGGTTGATATACTATGACATTCATATGATCTTTTTCCGACATTTTATTATACATACTATTTAAACTTTTTATATTATATCTTCACTTATCTTTTCATTTAACTTTCTTCGGCAGACTACACTATTGCTTTTTTCTGCCTTGTTCAACATTCGTTTTTTATGATTTTTTTTACCTGCTATAGTATGACTTTTCTCAATATACTATCCTATATTTCTTTTTAACTATGACTTTCTGTCACGGGCAGCAGGGTGCTGTAGTGATCAGCATTGTTAGCCTCAAAGCAAGAACCTTTCTGGGTGGAGATCCTGGTGTGTTCTCTCCGAGTCTCTGGCTTCCTCCCACAGTCCAAAGACATGCAGGATGGGTTCATATGTGACCGTGGTAGGTGTGTGAATGACCAGGGTCCAGATATAACCACGATCAAAGTATTGTATGCAGTAACAATGTCCGTAGAAAGTCATAGTATAGTACGCTAAAATATATATTACAAAACTGTCAATTCATGGCATATCAAAAAATGTGATTTTATAGTTTAATTTGAATTCAAATGAAAAATAAATTGTGAACTCCCTTGTTTATGGTTTGCCGTTGGACTTTCTCTTTCTCTTCCCTTCTCTGCTGGTGGTGGCTGCGATGTGAGTGTGAGTGTAGGTGTGTGTGTGTAGCACAGCCACTCAGGAAGCCGAGTGCCAGGTCGGAGTCGGTAGCTGAGTGATTCTGTCAGCCTGTTAGGCGTTGGTGGATTACAGTGAAGTGGCCCCTGGAGGGGCTCAGGCATCAGCGTAGCTCCGCCCAGTTATAGTTTTAATACGGTTACAGCAGGTAGTGACAATTCATTCCTCATTCTCAGTGTCTACCTATAACTTTACAACTACATCTACACTAAACTATTCATAAGAAATGGTTGAATGACACAATAAATAACAGCACATTGATGTAAAGTGCCACCTTATACTTATCAACGTGATAACGCTTAAGTTGATAAATCGGTTGCTTAATTGGCATCAACTTGTAGTCATACTTCTGTTTTGCAATTTCCTGTTTTCCAATATTTTCAGCTCTGAATTTGGGTCTCTAAAACTACCAAAACTAAAAACTAAAACTGAGGGAAATATTTAGTTCTTTTTCGCACCTGTTTCACCGTGTTCGTTCGCTAACTCTGTTGGTCAGCTGTCAAAAGACACTAAACCAAGGATGGATGCCGATCAGTGGCACAAGACTTTGGAGCTTAATAACTACCTTTCATGATCAACAAAGGGAATGCAAACGCAAGACACAGACCTCTGCTATGTTAAATCATGGCTAAAATCAAGTTTTGTGCAGCCACAGAAAACGAGAGTGGATGTGGGTCCACATGTGAGTCGTCACATGTGAATCGTCACATCCACTCTCTGTCCCAGAATCAACAGAGCACGAAGGGAAGATATGAGAGGCCAACCGGATCTGCTTAATAAAATGCACATCTGAGAGGATGAGGGGGAGAGGACCAGATTTGTGACAGACTCCGGCCACGAATCTTTCATCCAAAGCTTTTCCAGTCTGTGAAGCAACATTATATATTCTAAGTAACTTTCACTGACACCAGAGTCCAAAAACAGCTGAGGTTTGGTATTTTGATTACAACATACAGTGTCTTGAATCTGCGTCCCTGGGAAAGGTAAGGATGAATTCATGCAATCTGCCGCCCCCCCGAGAATTGTTTGCCTCCAAGACTCTGAGGCAAGCAAAAAAGCAAAAAAGCTTGGCAAAACACTCCTGAATCTATTCAGACTGGGCCTGCA